CTGAGAAATGTGTGATCGTTCCATGATGGGCTCAAGGTTCAGCTGAGTCAGCTGTGAGATGGAGGCCGCGGGTCATTATATGTTCATTTAAGTAGGGAACATTCTCCGAGGCTCTGTTTGCATATCCAGGGAACCTGCACTTCCTAAACTGTCCTACAATTATAAATAGTGTTTAAGTAGAAAATGTATACGATATGCATCCTGGAAAACTCCATCCATTTTATTCCTTGAATTCTCTAAAATAAGTGTACATCTTGCCAATGGAAAAAAATTCTCTATTTTCGTAGTGGAAAAATTAAAACGTAATTCACTATGATAGACTCTATAATATTTCTAAACTGCCAAAAATCTAGACAGCATGGCAACTTGACTTTTAGTTGTATATGACACACATACGAGGTCTACTATGTGATTTGTATTTGAGCATCAAAAATTGTCATAAATACGTGGCAACTTTAATAAATCCAGAAAAAAATTTTTCCATCGTATGGAAAAGAAACAAGTTTTATTTCTCATCTCTACTATATTTTCAAGAGCTGTATTTCTTGCTTTTGTGGTAAGTCTTGGTAAAGACTTGTTAATAGTAACTGAGAAATATAGTGCCTTTATAGTATAGCTCTGTATTGAATTTTTTTTTACTGTAAATTCTTTACTTTGCTCAAGTATTTGACTCTATTTTTATCATTCTTGCCACTATTCTACTGAAACAACTTGCTTTATTTTTATTTTTTTAACATCTTTATTGGAGTATAATTGCTCTACAATGTTGTGTTAGTTTCTGCTTTATAACAAAGTGAATCAGCCATTCATATACATATATCCACATATCTCCTGCCTCTTGCGTCTCCCTCCCACCCTCCCTATCCCACCCCTCCAGGTGGTCACAAAGCACTGAGCTGATCTCCCTGTTCTATGTGGCTGCTTCCCACTAGCTATCAATTTTACATTTGAAACAAATTTCTTAATACAAATTTTCACCATTTTCTATCCCAATCTTCCATGGTAGTATTTATAAAAAAGACTTTTACATATTGCAAAAAAAGATGTTTGTATTCATTCATTCAAAGAATATTTATTATGTGTCCATATGTGCCAAGGACTATTCTTAGGCTGGGGAAACAAAAGTGAACAAAACAGACAAAAGTATATGGTTTCATTTACCTTCTTTTATGGTGTGGGGAAACGGACAATAAACATAATAAAGAAATCATATTTTTGCCTTAAAAGACGATAAGCCCGACAGAGAAAAATATGTATCGGGTATATAGATGCACATAGTTTACTGTAGAAAGGCTTTTTATGATAGAGACCAAACTATATTAATTGAAAAACTTACAGAATTCCTAATATAAAAGCAGTTACAATATGATATAAATTGTTATTCAATTTTACTTGTATATATTTGACATTGTTTATTGGTGGGATGCTGTGTTGGACACTTTCATATCGAAAACTGATTTAATTTCACCATACAATCTCCCCAGTGGATGAAGCACGCGAGTGGCAGAGCCAGAATCCAAATCTAGATTTTTGATTCCTTACATGGCTGCATCTAACCCTCCAACTAGTTTATTACAACACTCTATCCTAAGGCTGCATAGAGGCTTCAGATTTTGAAGTCCTTCCAATAAAAATAATGTGTTCGGTTATAAAGCAACTTTTGTGTAGTCCGGTGAAGTGATTTCTGAGGGGCTATTCTGCAGATCTCTCAGGAAGAAGGGAGAGAGGGAAGTGACTCGGGGTGCAGAGTGTCAACATCCAGTAACGCTCATTCTTTTCTAAATTCTCCGCAGCAGACCCGCAGGTCTTAAGTTCAGTTGTTGTAGTGATAGCCAGGTTAAATGTATTCTTCCACTAAAAATATACCCTCAAACTTGTAGCAGTCATCAGGAGCTCTCATTTCCAAAAGTGCTGCTCCGGGCATTTGATAATCCCGCATTTGCTGGTGTGGTTGACGTAACTGTATTTCAGATACGCAGTGTGTGCCCCTGTTGTTGGACCAGCTAAAACCGTTCTCGCCCCTTGGTATTGGGCCATTCTGCTGATACAGGGTGTTATAAATGTTATGACAGGGGCAGTTTGTATAATACAGCATAATTTGGCAGGATAATACAACATAATTTGACAGACAAACTCATTTCCTATTTATTCTCTGTAGTCTGAGACATGAGTTAAAAAAATTTCAGTGTGTTATAAAGGTTACGATAAAATATGGCCAGTAATTAACACTTTACTTAAAATATGTTCTCTATAAGATAGGCTGGTAAGAACTATGCTGCTCTTACTTAAACTGATCATGGTTTGGGGGGTGGGGGTGGGAAAGAGGGATTAAATCTTTCAAAATAATAAGAACTTAAAGTTTGAAAATACACTCTCTTCATGTGAAATCACTGCTGTACCCGAGCCAGCTGTAATCGAGAGGGGCATCCTGTGATTGTGAAAGAAAATAATGTGAGAAGGGAACTCTGGACACTGTATTTCGCTTGAGTGACACTGATATATTTGGAAGCATCCGTCTTCCCCTTTCACCTAGATGCATGTTTGTTTATTTTGGCCTCCTATGGGCTATCGTTTCCCTCTAATTCCTGAGTCCAAAGGCTCAACCAGTAGTTGGTTTCAAATACTCCTTCTTAATTGTTTATCACTACGAACAATTACAACATTTGCTGGGGAGTTATGTCCCAGTTTGCAGTTAAATTCTTGAGTTTAAATAGTTTCGTTATCAATAAAATGCAATGTCCTTTAACGAGGGAAAATATCTGATCATGTTTTCCCAAAGTACCATGCACAGAAGGTGTGATAGCTGGTGTTCTCTTTCTTTCCTTTGTATTCATCACACACGTATTAAGAGCCTATGTTAGCATGTGTCAGGCAAAGCTCAGATACAGAAACAGTGTTCCTGACTCTCTGCTCTTTTTGACATATGATTATTTAAAAAACACATATATAGGACTTCCTTTATGCCAGGCACAGTTCTAAGCACTTTACAAATATTAAGTCCTTAATCCTCACTGCAGCCTTAGGAAGAAGGTACTGTCCAAGGTCACATGATTAGTGCTGGTGGAACCAGGGGATTCGAAGCTGGCAGCCTGGCTGCAGAGTTTGTGTCCCTTCTGCACTACACCATGCTTTGTCTCTGAATTTTCAGATAGCCATCATTTGTATGCAATGAAAATAGGATATGGTTCCTGCCCTCAAAGGGTTTACAAGCTAAAGCTGTTTCTTCTTTCCACATGTATATTCAAAGATCAGATCTTGATAGAGCATTACGGTCCATTCATTTACTAGATATCTTCATTTATTAAGTATATACGAAGTGTACTAGAGACACAGGGACAATGCAGGCTGCCCGTTAGGGAACTCACATCAGGGAGAGACACAATTTCATAAGTGCTGATGGAAGGATGTATTTCAATGAAAAATTTCCAAAGAGGTACTGTTTGATTTGGAGTTTGCTAAACAGAAGAATGGAGAGAGAGGAAGGAATTGTTGGTTGAAGGCACAGTGGAGTCTGTATGAAGGAGCAGAATGGGATCACGAATGGAAATGACTAAGAGTACAACATGACCAGAGAAGGAAGATGGGGTCTAAGTTCAAATGACCTACATTCCTTGATAAAGATGTGGAATTGTTTCGGTCAGTAATGGGACATAATGAAGAAATTTAAGGAGTGAAAAGACAGGGTACAAAATGTGTCTTAGATCACTGAAATGGACAGTTTGATTCAGAGCTGCCACTAAAAGTAATGTGGCTTCCCAATTTCATTTTTTACCTCTTCCCCCTCATCTGCCTTCTCCAGCCCCTTTGTCTCCTCTTCTTTGGCCTCTCCCATTTTTTTTTCCTCTAACCCCCATCCACTTTCATCACTCCTTCCAGTAGTAAAAAATGTCTACTTTATCAAGGTTTAGTCACAGATTTTCAGGAAAACACGTAGTATCCACCATTAAACCGTATAATGAATTTCAGTGTCAGTATTATTTCTACTTGCCAATTCAAAACTTCCCTCTTTTTTTTTTTTTTTTTAATAAATTTATTTATTTATTTTTGGCTGCGTTGGGTCTTTGTCGCTGCACGCGGGCCTTCTCTAGTTGGGGCGAGTGAGGGCGACTCTTCGTCGTGGTGCGCGTGCTTCTCATTGCGGTGGCTTCTCTTGTTGTGGAGCACGGGCTCTAGGCGCGTGGGCTTAGTAGTTGTGGCTTGTGGGCTTAGTTGCTCCGCGGCATGTGTGATCTTCCCGGACCAGGGCTCGAACCCGTGTCCCCTGCATTGGCAGGCAGATTTTTAATCACTGTGCCACCAGGGAAGTCCAAAAACTTCCCTCTTGTTAACGGTATTTCAAACATCAGCGTGAGAAAGAAGAATATTTCTTTGGAGGAGCAATAAACCACTGAAGGAAGAACCTAAAATTACGATACTTAAGTGATACCCGCCCCTTCTCACACGAAGTTCCATCCTGCCTCATTGAAATGCATTCAAATTTTGCTGCGTCCTGATGGAGAGAAGCATCAGCGTTGTGCGTCTCCAGAGAGCTCTGGGATTGCTTCTCAGCTGTACTCCCCTGTCCTTCCGGTGCAAAGTCCATCCTCCCTGAGTCTATTTCCTCTAATGTGTTTACCTAAAAGAACTGTTAAAAGATAAGGCAGTTGGAACTACTACAGAAAAGCACAATGCAGATGAAAAGCGTTGCTATTAATTTCTATTTTTCAGCCAGAGTTGAGCTCAGTATTTCCATGTCACGGTATTCCTCCAGGGACTCTATATTTTAATGGCCTGAAATTTTCATCCTTCTGGAATAATGAGAAAAATACCGTTCACCTTCATTTCTCGCAGACGAGGTTGGCTTTGTCCTGGTCAGCCTTTCAGAGGATCTGTCATTCCTTTACAGAGAAAAACTTAAAAGACAACTTTCTGAACGGCCCCCGATTTGCATTAATGATCTCCTTCAAGGGAAACATGCTCCTTTTTCTCCTTGAATTTTTATGCCTTCTTTTTTTCTGTAGATCGAAGAGTCAATTGAGATCCACTTCGGCAGCCATGGCAGAAAGGCCGTTCTCTACAGGCCTCCTTCCTCCAGCAAAAGGGAGCTTCAGCTCCACCAGCGCATTCTCACTCGGCATCACTATGCGGTTGTCATCACTGAAGAGAGGCTTGGTGCCGCCCCTGGGCTGGGGCTACTAGAAAAAGGTCAGAGTCAGAATTAATTACCAAAGTAATTAATTAATTACCAAAGTTGCTTGTCTTCTAATTTAAATACTTCCTGAAATGTGCTACTATCTTCCTCTAAAAAAATTCACAAGAACCAAGTTTTACCCATGATCAACTTTCTTGCATCATAGAAAACTTGGTTCCTTTTCTGCTTCCTCTCCATTTCCTTTTAGCTACATTTCTTTATTCCTGAAATTATTTTGTTTATATTTTTGTAGCATTTTGGAGCTGCATAGTTCATCTTTAAATGCTACTTAAAACATGTTTATGTTTATGAGCCCAAATACATGTTCTGCCCAGCACCAAACTGCTCAATATTTTAAGAAAATTGCCACTTCATCTGACTGCAAGTAGAATGTGCTGGAAATTGTTTCGAGAAGCCAGCTTAAATGTGATTCACAGATTGGTTCTAAATGCAAAAGAAGTATAGATATTTATCTCACATGCCATTACTAGTCAAGTACTTTTTATTTCTATCCTTTGAAGTGAAAAATAAGAGGCAAGTTTTTAAACAAGTTATTTGAAAAAAAGTTGAGTAGGTGATGAGGGTCAAAAAGGGCAATAACAATAACAGCTGACATTTCTTGAGTAACTAACCATGTGACATGTTGTATTCTGTATTCATGGCCTCATTTAATCCTCACTGAAGGCCCCTGAGTGCCCTAAGATTAAGAAATATTCATTCCTTCCCCAATTCCAGAAGAGGAAACTGAGGCTTGGAGAGGTGCAGTGACTCACCTTGTATCTTAAACCTGGGGTGATGGAAGGGCAGGATTTGAACCCCTGTGTTCCAGCTCTCACTTCTGTGGTCGCCCTCTTCACCTCCGTGTTGCCCACTCCCTCTTTCGGCCCCTTATCCTGCACTAACCTATCATTATTAGAGCTACCAGGATGTATAGCACTCATTCTCCATGAGCCAGTCAGATTTTTCTCTTTATGACAACACAGTGTATCCATTTTCCTTTTTATCAAAAGGGAGGGGAGGAAAAACAATTTGAATCCACTGCTGATCTCCATGATGGTTTCCTTTGGGAGAAAAAGTCAGATCCCGGTGCCACAATAATTTTCATTTGTCATTTCACTTTCAGCCATCTTGACATCCTGGTAGCACTTGCTCTTCAGTTAGGACCCCCCTTGCTCTTTAAAGTGCTGGTTTATGCTGGTCAGTGAAAGAGGCTGGGGGACATTTAGCCATGATTACTCTTCACCTTTTACCATGTTGGCAGTAAAGTTATAAGCTGCTTAGCTAACAAAGCTCCCAGGGAAGAAAGCCCCAAGAGATCCACTTTGATGAAAAGAAAGTTCTTAAAAATGTGCAGAGGTCATTAGCACAGGTCTTCAGGAATG